CCCCCCACACACACACACACCTCGAACAGCAGGGTTGCGTTATAAACTGATCACCCGGTAAAACATATCAGTACAAAATATTGTCATTTAAACGTTTTGCTTTTAATGTCTACGACTTATACAAGCTCGTACATTGAGAAAGTAATGTATGCATTGTGAAGTTATAAAGAAAAAATAAGAAGAAAAAAGATTACGAGGCTGGGGCAGGGGCTGGGGCAAGGGCTGGGGCAAGGGGCAGGGGCTGGGACAGGTGGCAGGTGGCTGGTGAGGGGCTTCGCTCCGCTTGGCTGCACCGCACAAGCAGTGCACGCACCTGCGCTTCTTCCTCGCCCTGGTGGAGGAGGGAGGGGGAGGAGGGCAAGTACACCGACAGACGGCGTCCCGCGGTCAACCTTTTCTAAGCCGCTTACCCCGGTCCCCAAAAGGCGTAGCCCCACCGCGTCCCCTTCCGTTTTCCTCCTTAGTAGCAGGATTGCAATCATCATTTACCGCGTGCTGCGTAGTAATACATTGACCGATTATAATTGATATACTTCTGGCTGATTTCAAAATTGCACGCAATTTAGAGCACTTCCAACGTTGAAAACGATCGCTTAAAAGCTTATGGAAACATCATCATGAACCCCACTGACTTATTTTTTCTTCCTGGAGATTTCCCAGCTCCAGAGGATGCCCATTTCAATTATCCGCGCGTGGCATCCGCTATGTACCACCTTAACCTTAAAACTAGACACACACACACACTTGCAGGCTCCTCGGTCTGTGGTCAGCAGTCTCCCAAGGCCTTCGCGACAACACGCATACACGAAAGACAATGAGCAAAGAGCCTCAACCACGTCGGGACTCGAATCCGCAACCCTTCAAAGTCGGCGAACGCTCTAGCCACCTCGGCCGTCCGGGGCGGGGGCTTGTCTCACTCACTTAAACAACACAACTCCGAAGATTCTGCCATGTTCATTTGAGTTTGAGGTTTTCTTGGGACAGGTGCGACAAATCTAATTGCGTTACTTTTGAACGGAAACTGACCAAAAATGTCTCGTGATGAATGAAACGACAACGATGCCTCCTCGGGCAAGCACAAGTGAAAGGAGTTTAGCTGGGAAGCGCTTGGCGGAAATCTGACCGCGAGATGCACCCGGGCACGCAGACGGCAGACGCAAGAATTTGTTTTACTTCTCTGCGCATCTGCACTACAAAAAGATATTCTTACTGTTCCGCAAAATGGATTCAAGATTTTGTGTTGCAATTCTTTACCTAACACGAATACCAATATAGCCATGCCACGAAGTCGGAAATGTTTCCGAACCTGAAATTTTCTCACGTGCTCATTTTCTTGGGGAGAACATTGAGCATACTTCACAATGAAGACACCAATTTTCACTTTTACTCCCCATACAATACTACAGGAATATTGCGTGGGGGTGTGCAGCAAACGACACGCTTTCAACGGGTAATAGTTGGAGCCTGAGCTAAACAATTAACGCCTTCTCAAACAATATTAACGTAAACAAGTTGTCAACGATCTTCTATTTTTTTAAGATTCCGCTTAAATTAGTTTTTGTTACCTTGGATGTCAAGCTACTGCAGGTTGGGCAATTTTACTAGGCAATTATTTTTTGGGTCTACAGTTGGCACTGACAGCGGAACGCAATAATTCTATAGGGAGGAAAAGTATTGGAATATCAACAATACGGTCTAGGTTTTTGGCCCCTAAATACAGAGTTTAAAGTTTTCTTAGCTATAACTTCGATCATAGATTAGGATGGTGTTCTATTAATCGTGTTCCAAAAATTGTTAAAATTGGTGTCAGTGGCGAAAAAGATACTCGCAGTGAAGTTCTTCAAATCAAAATCGGGATGTCTTCATGGATTGATGAAAATACCTGTCATGCATAACTGTCAGACACAAAATTTTTAGCTGTCGAAGCTAAATACGTCAGAAGTAAGATCTAATTGTGCATTTCCACCAATCAACTTTCTGGGAAATAACTACACAATTTTCTTTATTTTTTCTCTTACTTTACTCTTCAAATAGAGAAGAAAATGCACTAATAAATACTTTGTTGTTTTTTCAATTTTCATTAAAATATCTGAAATTTTGTAAATTGCAAAAGTACTAATTTATTTTCCAATCACATACAAATACCAATGCCATTTATATCACTTTTTTAAAATTAAAAAAAGAGTAGTTGTTAAATTGTAATACTAAAGCGGACGTCACTGTAGATCGGATTTTGACCGAAATTTCGGTCGGCTGATTTCATTCAAGCACATTCAATTTCATTTGGTTGACATTCAAGCACATGCGATTTCATTCAAGCACATCTTTCGACGGCGTCCGCACATATCGGTCCCCGAATGAAGATCTGTTTCGTTTCGTTTCATTTGTCTGACGTCAGTCGACCAAACTTTCGGCCAAATTCTGTTCCACTGTCACCGCCGCCTAATTGGAGGAAACATGTCAAAACGCCGCACATTCCTACAGGTTTAATTTCTCCTCTCTAACGAATATTTTCTCAACCCAAATACTAACAATTAGAAACTTGGCCTCTTCTCGCTACGTCTAGCAAAGAAAATAAGTTTCCTTTCGCGTGAAGCGTAAATGATTGCAGATCGTGTGACTGAAGGATATGTCGCAGCTTCTAGTTTTCCCAAGTGAACAGATATCTCTGAAAAATTCTGCTCATTACTAGTGCATCTGCTAGCAAACGTTTCAAAGAATTTTTTATCTTCGCAACATCCATGAGGTGATGGTGGAAGTTTTGTGTTAGTAATACGAATCACAGCGAATAATCATTTTTCCCGTTTTCATCCTATGGCCGACGGTCTCCTTGAAAAATCTCATTGGTATCATGTCCATAACCCATAAGTAATAATAAGAAAAACACAACCGAAAACACGTTTCCATCTACCTCCAGTTACTCAAACTTAACGACACACTCACAATGCCGCAAGACATTGCTATAGTATTGCAAATCATCTGTCGCTGACGCCGGAAGTTCAGGGCAGAGGATCAAAGAGACAAAACATTTTCCATCGCTATAATCTATTCACTATATTGTCGAAAGTTTATGTAATTGTTATTTCTGCAACAAGAGTTGTTTTTTTTTTCAACTTGATGACAAAGCATTGTAATTTACATCCATTACAACCGAATATATTTGTATATCTATCCAGCGTAATGCTCGCCACTCGATGGCGCAAGACAGTGTGCGAGCGTTGGAGCGGCAGGCGGCACCGGGAAACAATTGAACCACGCGACTGCAGCGCAGTCAGTGGCAACGGCCCGCGACGCAGGAGTCGCTGCAATCGGCTGACCCCTTTCGCTTGCAGCTCTGCAACTGAGCGCCGCGTTGGCACGAAAGCGATCGGCTCTCCGAGCAGGAGCGACAGTGAACGATATTACAATATACGATTGACTTAATAATCGATTGGAAGTGACTTTTAAAACTCTAAATGTTATAATAACCATTTGGAGAGGGGAAGTTGTAGCACACTTTTCACCACACAACCTTCCTGTCAGTACTAAAAGCAGGACCTTAGGACCGTAGTTTAGCAGCCAGACTAGACGCAATAGAAGCCATAGAACAAACTGACAATATCCACGACGAGCAAATAATCACTTCAGCGTTCATCGAAGAGTTACACGTCGGCAATCGCCAAAGTTTCTCGTGAATTAAGTTTAAAGGTCACGAAACGCGGTGTCAGTGATACTTTTTACACGTAAACGTGAAAAATATTTCCCGCCACTCAGAGAACTGAAGCCGGTCCTCTGGACTGTGAGAACATCCGACTTTGTATCCACGTAATGTACCTCGAGTAGTCAGCACGCAGTAATAATGTAGAGGAAATGCAGATTTTTTTGGAAATTCATCTATTCATAAAACACATGTATGAATATTGAAGAAAATTAGGACAATAAAAAATATTTTGTGAAAATAGCAAACTATGCAATATAGTAATATATATGAAAAAAATATGTAGCGAAAATATCGATATTGTGTTATGACAGCGACGATTCGATAAGAATACAAGAGAACGGTAAGTAGGAAGACAAAACATATGTAATTACATAAAAATCCATCTCTAGTGATGGTTTTGGCTATATTTCAAAATCCCGCTAACAGTGTGACGCACAGTGACGCCTGGAGCCCATTGGCTGAAGCCAAACAGGTCGGGGTCGAGGCTGGGGGGTTTCGTGGACGCCTACCTGCACGGCGCTGTTGAGGAAGCAGTTGTTCTGGCCCGGCGCGTTGAGCAGGCCCTTGGCGCTGGAGAAGGCTTGGCCCGGCCCGCTCGGCGACACCGCAGGCGCGGCCGCCGTCGCCGCCGCCGCCATCGCCCCCGCCCCCGGCTCAGCGGCTCAACGGCGCTCTGCAACCAAGCACACAAACACGTGACCTCTTATTCGGTGCTGCAAAGTCTGGAACGCAAATTGAAGGCGTCGGAAGAAGATAGTGCTAACCCTCATTTCATAAATCCAATGTTTCCTAATAATAAACATTATGATCGAAATGCTAACTAACGTGTTCACAGAACTAGAAAACGTGTGTGGAAATCTGCCAGAAGTGTAGTATATAGAACATAAGATATGTCTTGTTCTAAAACATTGTTTCTCCTCTGGATGACAAAAATTATAGAGTGTAGGTTAGCACTGTGTTTCTCCAATCCCTTCAATTTCATCAAACATCTGTATCAGACACTCAAAAGCAAACAATAAGAAATGGCAAATGTGTGTTGAAATACCACTCAGTAAACAATGAATTTCCACAATATTATCAAAATACTAAACCATAAAACAAACAAAGCAGACAGGCGTAACTAAGTATGCAAGCGCCCAAGGCAAGCATATAATTTTCGCTCTGTTAGGATACTTCGAATTGGAGTTGTTATTATTTGTTTTAGCATGTGTACTCTAAGTAGCGTCCCTTGTGAGTGGCGCCCATGGCACGTGTCATGTCTGCCATACCGTAGATACGCCTCTGGACCAATGAAAACGTTTATTTGAGCCTATTTAGAAAAGAAAACCACATGTGCAAGCATTAAAAAGCATTGACGTACTCGAAGCGTGTAGCGTTACTGTGCACATTGTCATCCTCGCCTTGCGGAAGCGGTGAGGGGGTCGCCAAACCTGCGCGGAGCGTGAGTAGCATATTGCACACAAACTATACGCCAACATACGGCGAAATGCACACAATTAAACTCGTTGCTTTACGGTATCATAAGGCAAAAATCCTTCTGCTGTGTACCATTGATACCTCATTACCATAAAACCGCTTGTAAAGATAGATAATAAGTAGTAGGGTTCACATTTTCAGCAATATCAAATCCTACGATTTCCTTTAAACTGCTTTTTAAATTAAAGTATTTATTGTTGGAATGTATACACTTACGTTTATTTGCATTATCATATTATGTTGACTGCTAAACTATACTTATCCAAACTTAAAATTTAACTAACATAATTGCATAATAACATACGTAGAGCACACACTAATTTAACAATTGGCTAAAAACATTGACTAAAACTTATAAGAATATTTGTTACTGAGGATGGAAAGTAGTTTATTGATGCTAGGTTGTAGTGGGCGACTTGAACATTGTGTTTGTATTTGAATAGAAGTTATTACAAAGGTGGCCGATGTGGTGAGTGGCAGTACATTTAGTTCTCAGTGGAGTTTTGTGTGTGACGTGAGCCAAGTGGGTGAGGAGGACAGCAGCAGAAAGTATTTTCGCAAAGACTGAATTATTATATTTGTTTGTGATGCATTCAACCTGGACATGTACAGACTCTAAGCGGTCTATTATTGGTTGTATACGGCTAACGCATTGTTTAGGAATGTTTGTTGTTAAGGTGTGTCGTAGTCTTTTCGTTATCTGACTTTTTTTCCAATTCAAGTTCAGTCCAGGGTATTTCAGTTTAAATTTGTGAGATTCATGGAATGGTGTTTATATGAAGTGGGACGGGGCTGGAGAACAGTCAGGGAGCATATTTTTGTTGCTGATTTTGTAAGTTTTATCTTCCAGCTAATACACATATCTTGTATTTTAAGTGCTTCTGGATTTTGTTTCTAATTAAATTAATTGAATAGCTGGACTTGAAAATTACTTTGTCACCTACGAATTGTAAAATTTATGTGTGTCTAAATAAATGAGTACGTCTGTAGTTTGGAGATTGAAAAAGGTGAGAGACAGATGTAATCATGCTAGTATATTTTTCGCGGAGAGAAGAAATGTTTTCCAACTGTCACCGTGAATTGAATGATGTGGACAGTAGTATTTTATTTGGCCTTGCGTTCGCGATCTGCTGTGCGTCGAGGCTGGAAGGCAGACCCCGCCAGGCAGGCCGGGCGGTAGGAGAACGATCGTGACCTTGGTGATAATTAGCAGAGAGCTTACGTAATCCTCTACGTCGTTTCTTGAAGGAATGTGATTCAAAGTACTACCAATGCATATCTGTTGAATGTCATGCAGTACTTTATATGTCATACTGTGTATCATTATGTCTAATAAAAGTTGACATTATCCGCAAAAAACCTAACAGAGTATCTTGATTGCGTGAAATACCCCCAAACAACGTCGAAGATGATCTGAAGGCTATACCCAGAGGAGTATGTACTAGGTATTCAGGCGCTAACAGCAAGCGTAGAATTTGCGCCACTGCCAGTCTGTCAGGATGCTCTTTAAATGAGGGTTGTTGTTACTTGTTTTAGCGGGTATACTCTAAATAGCGCCCCTTGTGAGGGGCACCCGTGGCACGTGCCATGTCTGCCGTACAATAATTCACCAACAAATCAATATCAAGATGAAAAAGGCAATGTGGTCGAATATAGGGATAACGATACATCCATGTATAGGCAACACTGCTACCTTAATTATGACATTTTTTTGAAATGATGTCCGGAGGAATTGTGCAAGACGTTGGCACCAAATAAAATAATCTGATATTTACAGACATATGAAACTGTGGAATATCTTTTAATGAATGATTAGTTATTGCGGGCACGTCAACGGAGGTAATTTTTCCCGTAAGTGTAGTATGTGTTTCTTCTTCTTCTTCTTCTTCTTCTTCGTCTTCTCCCCCCTCTCTCTCTATCTCTCTCTATCTCTCTCTATCTCTCTATCTCTCTCTATCTCTATCTCTCTCTATCTCTCTCTCTATATCTCTCTATCTCTCTCTCTATCTCTCTCTATCTCTCTCTCTCTCTCTCGGAAGGCTCTCCCGCTAGATGGTGAGATCCAGCACCAACCAACCGTCGACTAGTGGGGTGTTCCCCAACCATGTATCTCCCACCAGCGGGGCATCGCCGCAGCCGGGACACGTTGTAGGCTCTCGGCTTGTCTCCCGCCATGCTATAATGCGTCTTACTGTAAGTGGGTGTAAGTGAGGAGTGTGGATAGGATGAAGAAGAGAAAGGAAAGACAGCGCGCGATCCGTGGCCCGTTAGTTAGAGTACTTCTCCGACATTCGCTCGGTGTTGATCTGAGCAATCACGAAAAACTACTGATAAGCTCTTCTCCAGACAGCGACAGAACTCGACCCAGCTCTCTAGCTAGTGTCGATGATCCTCCCATCGTCGGGACACGAAGCTAAGACCTCCCGGCCAGAGGCACTGCAGAGACATCAGTTGATGCCCTGAGCTACCTCCCCCGGTATGGAGAAACTTGTTGGAGCTTCCGAAGTGCTTTCGGGTCGGTTGACAACCGGATGAAGGGGTCGGCATCCGGTTAAGGCTCGGAGGCTGCGAGGAAGGCGAGTTCCCAGCGCCGCCGCCGGATTCTGCGCGGTGGGTGTGCTTACCGTTCTCTTTAATTTCCCTCTCCCGTATTTTTCTCCCGGCAGACGATCGTACTCGAGCGGTTCGCGTCTTCTTGGACCGCTGGGGGGGAGGGGGGGGGTCTGCGCCGGGGGCCGCGGGCGCTCGGGAGCGCAGCAGCTGTCGCCCGCCGCCGCCGCCTCGCGCCCAACCTGTTCCGCGCGGAACCGGTTCCAGATTTGGGCGGCGAGGGCTCGGGGGCCCCGCGCGCGGTGTTTTTCCGTTCGCCTGCCCCCGCGCCCGCGCCGGACGAGCAGCGCTCCTGGCGGCACGCGCACCAGCACGCGCTCGCGCACGCGCGCCCTCTCAGCCGCGTGCCCGCGGACGGAAGCCAGGTGGCAGGCGCGGCGGCCGCGCTGACCGCAACTCCCGACGGAGACGCATTTTCCCCTATGGCATTCCCTAGGGCTAGGGCTTTTATCCAGCCTGCGGCGGCTTGCAAAAGACATCAACACCCATGTGGGTTTTGCTCATCTCGGGTCTGTAGAACGCGTCGTCGGCGCCACATATCACCGTACAGGTCGGGAAGATAACCTTCCAAGTAAAACACATGCACTGCACTTACGGGAGTAATGACCTTATCAATTGACGCACCTGGAATCACTAATCAATCAATTCGATCAACACCAGACGAATGCCGGAGCAGTACCCTAACAAAACGGGACATGGACAGGGCGCGTTATTTGTTTCCTCTCCCCTTATAAGCACATACAATCAACTCCTTTGCTGCCATACACTTCTAAAGACTAGACAAGAGCTTAGAGCTCATCCTGACTGAGGCGGTGACTTGGAGAAGTACCTGGAGGGGGACTCCCCGCTCCCAGGCGTGTAGTTCGGCGCTGAATCTCCCCAACCAGCGGGGGAGGGCCACCCGGTATAAAACACGCATTGCTTTAACGAGACAAATTATCATAAAAGTTAGCGTGTCCGGAACCATCATTCAATCCCCCGGTCCGTGAAACCCGTAAGCACGGTGCGGGTCGCCTCCACCTACCCCAGAAGCCCCCACGGGAACAATGTACCAGGGAGCAGCGGCGACACATACACAACGTTATTCTTTCCCACTCCCCGCAGCGAAGGTCATTTGTTTTGGATTTGACAGCAGATCGTTTTTAGCTTCCTATTTGTTATCATGACAAATACTACATCCCATGAAAAAGAAATCCATCTATAAATAAGATTCTGAGTTTTTCTGTCGGTCATAGAAGCCAAAACGACTCATTTCATTTTGCTTAAATCTTTACACTTCGTTTGTATTAGTGTTTGGAGTGTTTAAAGACTGATTTAAGTTAAATTGGATATCCGAGGGCGATTTTGATAATAATTTATACGATTATGATCACTTAAGTGGCCCTGAACAGCTCTACGCAACCCGCCACACTGCCGAGTTTTAAGCGCGTTTGTCATTTCAAGTACTGCCCCTGCGATTGTGCAATATCGGCCAGAATTATACACTTATTATTTGACCGTTATCTCGGACAAATAAATCAAATTTCTCCAAGACAGTGTCGTAGCGAACGCCTGCCTAAAATTGAGGGGGGAATGTTTTCACAATAG